ATATTACATAAGAGCTGATACGAGGTGATATATTCAAGTGTCTACACTATACTTTTTAGAAAAATATGGTCTTACATGGATTGAAGTACATAATATTGTAACACCATATAGGTACTTTGAATATTTTCTTTATAACATAAATTAGTAGTTTTATTTTAATGAAAACGTATATTTTTTTGTTTTATTATCTTAAGTATAGATTCCGATGTTTAAACATCGAATATTGAACTCATTTTTTTTATTGATAATCATTTAAAGTTTTGATGAGAAGAGTAAAGTTGCAAGGGGTTCCAATGAAATTTGTAATTCACTAGGTACTATTATAGTTCAATTCTGCCTCAGCTTTAAAACTAACTTTTATCCAACTATTGGACTTAATATATCTTATTTGATAAAGCTATTAAATATTTTTAATTAAATAGGTATCGACAAATATATTAACCTATATATTTCAAAATCGTTAATAGCAATGATAAAAAAAAATTGACAGAAATAAACACGGTGCTTAACTCTATATTATAATTTTATAATGCGATATCGTAATAATAATACCAATAACGATAATCACACGCTTCGTAAAAGTTGTATACCTACGTACGGTTTATAGATTTTAATAGAACACGTTTACGCGAGCGAATAGTATAGTTAAAATTATATCAAATGGTTTTAGTGAACAAATCGGACAGACATTATATTTGATACAGAAACCGGGTGTTGGTCACTCCTCTATTTGCTCACCTCGGTGCAGAATAGAGCAGGTGTATTATTAATTTGAATTTGAAAGCACGTTTGCGTTCAATCAAAACGATTCTGGGCGGAATTTGATTCGTGTGAACTATACATACAGACATAAAGTGTTCACAGTAGCAGGACATTCTGAAAATTTTAATTCACTCAGATAATATACATAGATAGGTATACTATTAAAATTGAATCTTTTTAGATTACACATTTTGATCAAAGCTCAATAAAATAAAATATTAAATATAATGTCATATATTATTTTATGTTATAAATAGTAATAAATAATTGTTATCAAACGATTAACCTTGTATGTCTAGTCATTATGCCCAAACCACAAAATATAATTTTCTAATAGTTATAAAATATGAATTAGTCATTATTATCACATTATGCTCATAAAAATAAGTTGATACTAATTGTCTAGTTAAATTGAGATTACCTTGTAATTAAGATGGGAAAAGAAAAATAATTTTAGTCAGTAGTAAAATTAGTCAATTTTAGAAGAAGAAAATTGAAAAAGGTGGGTAAGTGGATGTCGCTCAGCTGTACAGTAGGTTACAAGTGGCCAAGTAGGTCCCTGTAATGGATGGTGTTAAATTTGAATTCAATGATATAATATCATTGTATGAGAAAAACGGTTATGAGCGAAAACGGTCAGTCAGCATATGATATTACTTAGTATATTTAATGATATTAAGGTGAATAAAGTAATTTATATATTATAACCTATTTATCTGGAATCTTGTTTTAAATTTTCAATCATTAGCTATAAAAGTTGTACATCTTATAAATTTTTAACTACAAAATTATTATTAAATTTAAAATGTGATAAATGTTATAAAAATTCGAACTTTAAATGCTTATAAAAAAAAATTGTGCCTATGTATTTTTAATTTTTTGAACTGCATTTATAACAATATATCAGGAGCTTTTCATTAAATTTTCACGCTTTTTTACATAACAAATACAATTTTATTGATATTTATAGAAAAAAAACTAAAAAAATTGAAAACTGAAAATGTCAGTAAACAGCTCAAAAAGAGTCAAAATATTTTTAAAATTGTATGTTATATAGGAAATGCTAATATAAGCATTTAGTAAAATTTTCAAGTTTCTACAGTTATTCGTTTTTAAATTACAACAAAATAAGAAAATCGTTCCATGAGAAATCCAGTGAATATCAAATGTTGTAAAAATATAAATTTCAAATGCTCATAAAAATTTAATTTGAGTTTCTTGTAGAAATTTTTTTTTTATAAAGGTAGACAAACTTATGAGGAATCTTGTATTACATTTTTAGACCTTATTTTTAAAAAGTTTATGAATTTCTAACTCAAAATAATTTGTAAATTTTCGTCATTTTTAAGTATTTTGTCAATATTTGATCCAGGGACTGGAACGAACCTTGATGATTTTCACGGGTTCGGTTCCTATTCGGTTCCCAATAAAACTAAAATTTAGGTTTCGGTTCCCAGAAAAACTAAAATGTCGATTCCGATTCCGGTTCGGTACCCAGAAAAACTAACATTTAGGTTCGGTTTCTTTTCGGTTCTTGAAAATTTATCAAGTAAAAGTATCGGTTCCGGTGAGGTGCCGGTACTAAAATTAATTTAAATAAGGATTTTGGTTCCCAATATTCAAAGGGTTCCGGTTCCAAAACCTGTTCTTTTCGGTGAGGTTCCAGTCCCTGAATTGAACTTTAAATGTTTATAAAAAAAAAAAAAATGTGACTATATGAATTTTTAATTTTTTTCATCTGCCTTTGAAACAATATACTAGGAGCCTTCTATTAAATTTTCAAACTTTTTTAACCAACAAATAAAAATTTAATTGATATATTTTATATATAAAAAAAATAAAAAAATGGAAACTGAAATTGTCCGTAAGCAGCTCAAAATAAGTCAAAATATATGGAAAATGTTATGGTGCATAGGAAATGCAAATATAAACATTCAGTCAAAATTTCATGAACCTAACGGCATTTGTTTAAGAGTTGCACCAACAACCAAAATCGTATTTTTCAAAAACAGATTTTGAGTACAAATTCCCGTTTTTCCTTAATTTTTCTTTTGTTTTCCACGGCGCTTTTGAAAACTACTTGAATTTTTACTTATGACCCTCCAAAGTACCAACTAGATTCACTTTCCTATCAGAAAAGATACTGTTGAAGAAAATTTAAGCATTTTTATTGTCCTAAAAGGTTATGACGGACACAAAAATAAAAAAAAATTAAAAAACACACAATCATTGTAAAATCAATACATTCATCGTTCCACTTAGAATCTATAATGTAGTGAATCAAAGCTATATTTTCAAACTTTTTAGTTTTTATTGTACGAAAGTGGTGAATATATTTTAACGTTATTTTATAGAAAACAATGATTACATTTTCCCATCAGTCTTAAAAAAATATATATAATAATAATAGCTAATATAATATTAATTTAAAAAATATTTGAATATAGTTGAAGTTATTTGTACTTTTTGTTTTTTACTTCAACCAAAATGTCGTGGGTCTCGCATAATAGGAATGTGCTGCAGGCTGTAAGCCACGGGTTCGGCATTGCTATGATATAATAGGTAGGTATCTCACGTTATTACTTATTAATATAATTACATAGGTAAATACATGTTTATCCTGGCCTTCATGTACCTTCATGCATGTAGATTATGCTCTATTGTATTATTATTCACAAAGTTACAAAACTTAAATAAATGTACAAGAAATATGTATTGAATACGAAGATCAATCGTGAATAAGACAAATTATTACAAAATTAAAAGATCATAAGATAATTCAATACATATTTAAAGATTTTTACAAAAAATGCAAACATATTGTCGTAACAACATTTGGTCATTGGGTAATCATTCAGTATTGCATCCATATAATATTGTTTTGTTTTAATTTCATCGGCTATGGATCTGAGGATAATTGCAGAACAATTATTTTCACCTGTTCTTAGAAGATAATGTTAGCATAATTGTGTTACGGTTATAATATGGTATACATTGTTTTGTGTATTGCTCACTATTATGGATAATTTAAAAACAAAAACCCAAAACTATAGTATTTTTGATTATTATTATTTATTAGTAAATATAAGGTAATATTATCATAAAATAAAACTATTTGAATTCATGGACAGCATTAATCTAATAACAATAAAATATTGCTATACGTCTGTTTACGGAAACTGGATTTTACATTTTAATCTAACTGTAAGTGTGATGTCTCTCAACAGAATATTAGCCAATGATACGAAACACGATTTTGAAAACGGCTAAAGTTACAATAATATTTACATAAATCATTATGTGTAGTTGAGTTGTCAACATTCTGCAAATTTATCCATCGGTTAACTTAAATGATTTTCAATATTTCTATGAACACAATTGTATGAATTATGAACACATATTGTGTAATGCAATAACCTAGAGTTCTTTTTTATCTCAGTAAATCAATATGTAATACTGTAACTTCTATAACACATATTTTTTTAAGTAAGTTAATAGAAAGAAGGTTATAATTTATATTTTTCAAATACCTAATCTATATACTATTTCATAAACTTGATTTTGTAATGTCTCTTAGAAACATTTAAATTTATAATGCCTAATAACTGCACAGACGCAATTGGCCACAACGAGGACAAATTTAGATGTTTGATAAGTGATAAACACACGATATTTTAATAATATAACTGGGATAAAAATTGAAAGTCAATATTTGATCTTATATTAAAACACTAAAATTATTTTAAAAATGTATACATTTTAATATTCTTCAATTTAATAGAGTCTATATCAAAATTTACAGAATCATCTGGTATAAGAAAATTTAAAATATTAACATAGTCTATGTGTAGAATGTAGATACTAAGTATGTCAACTAAATAACCAAACCGTTAAAAAACTATGTAATAACATTATATCACATCAAATAATAATTGGATTATGCCATACGAAATAAAAAAAAAATTAATTGGATAGGATTATATTATTTTGGCAAACTATATAGACGGTAACAGCTTAGTGTCGAAAATAATAATACTAATAGTTTATTGAATACAACCGGTTCAAGTAGTTATAGATATCTATAACATGGCGATATTTATTATTCAATATTTATAGGAAGGGTAAAATTAAAAATTATCAATCAACATAAATACGGAGTGTCAACAGTGAACAGATATCAGTTTCAACCAGCAGAACTAACAAGCACACACAGCACAGTTCAAAAATAAAAACATAAAATGGCAGTTAAGGTATTTATATTATTTTAAATAAATTCATAAAAAAACGGTTCATATAAGTAAAAACATTTTTTCTATTTCAGATGATCATTTTCGCCGCTTGCGTGGCCACCACACTCGCCCAATACGCTGCTCCAGCATACCCAGCGCATCACGCTGAAGCTGAACACGCATACGCCCCAACCCCGTACAACTTCGAATACAGCGTAAACGACCCACACACTTACGACGTGCATAGCCAATCCGAATCCAGTGACGGAAACGGTAACGTCAAGGGAACTTACAGCCTTTTGGAAGCTGACGGTTCCACCCGTGTCGTCGAATACACCGCCGATGACCACAGTGGTTTCAACGCTGAAGTCAAGAAAATCGAAGGACATAGCCAAGGTTACAAGGCACCGTACAGCGCACCTGCCCCAGCCTACAAGCCAGCTTACTCAGCACCCTCATACTCTGCACCCGCTCATTCTGCACCAGCATACTCTGCACCAGCTTACTCTGCCCCAGCCTACAAGCCTGCTTACTCCGCACCCGCATACTCTGCACCTGCTCATTCTGCACCCGCTCATTCTGCACCAGCATACTCTGCACCAGCTTACTCTGCCCCAGCCTACAAGCCAGCTTACTCTGCACCAGCTTACTCAGCACCCGCACACTCTGCTCCAGCTTACTCAGCACCCGCTCATTCTGCACCAGCATACTCTGCACCAGCTTACTCCGCTCCGGCCTACAAACCAGAATACTAATTTATTTAGTTGTGTAAGCTACTTTCCATCACTTTTCTATCACATTTTTTTCATGCACCTCCCAACTATAGTGTTCACCAATGTGAATAACCATGGTTGCTAATTTAAACATTTAAACATTACTTCCTTCATGTGTGTAAAATACTTATTGTGACTATTGTATTTATTGTGTAAATAAATGCATGCAAATATGTATTTATTGTATATCTCTGTGTTTTTTCATTTATTGTTCATTAATCATTGCCTAATTGATAATTTGCACGTCATTATGGCAATAGCACATATCAAAACTTTTGGTTCAAAACCTTTCGGTAGCCACGGACACTGTATAGTTATAACATTAGAACAAATCAAACGTGGCTAGTAAGTTTTATAATTTAATTGTAATCCTGCAGCTATATCCAACCGACATAGGTATTTACTTAGCACCCTCAGTGACCTACGCATATTACTTTGCCGTCAATTTATTACATTTTTATAACTTTTATAGTGAGCTAATTTTATGATAGAAATCAGGAAACTGGAAAACTAACTATGGGTTTTTTTTTATTTATTTACTTATTATTAATTTATAGAATACCTACAGCAACGCCACACAATATTAAGACATGTTGTAACAACTGTAGCAAAATAACCATTTAAAATTTAAAATTTTAGATATTAAATTTTGGAATTTAGGTTTAGATGTGTTTTAGTTATAATAGTATCGTAAAATATACCACTGGTCTCGGCAAATATGGTTTCAACGCTGAAGTTAACACAACCTAATGTTGGCCCTAGTTCTTATACATCATAACTAACCCAACTTGTCAATTGTAATCTAGGCATATTCACCTCTGTGTACTTAGCTATGTGCATATTATACTATCTGCATCGTATGCTTCGTTATGTTAAGTCAAATGTATTTATTTATCACAGATGATTAAAAATGGTTTATTTCAAAGGTTAGATATCTTAATTGGTTGTTGGATTGATTGTAATACACCAGTATCACCAATTCTATAGTGAATGGCTAATGTCAAATATACCCATTTTACGTCACGTAAAATCCATCACATATATATAAATTTATATTGAATTTTAAAAACTGATATACGATATAAATTAGTACGTTTTTTATGATATCAGATATATAATCTCATATCAACTTATATAAAACTGAATGCAATGATATACATATAAACGATTATAGCTAATGTTTCCTTATGTTCAAAAAAAAACAGCGGTAACGTAAAAATAAAGAAATTTACTTTCAATTTTTTAGGAATTTTTATTGAAAACGGTATATTTACCATTCAAATAAGCCTAAGATAATAATTCTTGTATATTTACTTTAGTTCTCAATAAGTCACCTTATATATTTTGTTGACTATAATATAGCGATCTAAAGTAGATCTATATAGTGAATACAATAACGTTTACCTAATCTGTTAGACCAATTGTTTTTACAACAGCTGTTAGCAAAGCTTGGTGCGACGGTGGTCGCATGTAACAAAATAACATATTCGAGAATTGTTCTAGAGCTTAAGCTTTTATTACCAATATTAAGGAAAACAATATTTCGGAGAGTATATGAACGGGATTTTGAAATTATTTTTTTATTTATTGGATTAAGCCATCGATGATTGAGGTTATCATCACTTAAGGTTGGAACGTTTTTTACCGTTGTAAACACGTATAATGTATATGTGTTGCAAGGTTTTTGCGCACTACAAACCTGAGTGGTCACCCATCCGGCAATTAGTGGTAACAGCCGTTACTTACTCTCAGTCATGTAGCGTGACTGATAGCAGCCAACACGTCGTGCCAAGCCACTTTTGAAAAGTTGTTTAGTACAGAAAATGATACAGTTATTTCAAAAAATCAAAAATTTATATTTATATTAATTTAAATTTATTATTTTAAAAGTGTTATATTGGACAGTAATAGTCTCGAATAGAACAAAAAATCATACCATACAAAAAAAAAAAACTTAACTCACTCATCATAACCAACATATTAGTATAGACTTTCAGTGAATCTTAAACCACAACTAAAATTAATATGCAGCTAGAACAATTATAAATAAATATAAAATATTTATAAGAAAATCATTGGAAAACAAAAAATGTATATTTTATATTTGTATACTTACTTTAACAGGTATAAATCGTAAATTCAAAATGTTTTATTTCATTATTCAATTGAATGACAATATAATATTTTAAAATTTTAAATAGAGATTAATTAAGTAGACATGAGTGCCATTATCCTTATTCAAGTACACACAATTATTAATTGTTACACTGATCCTCTGCTCAGAATCGTTTTTTATCGAATTCTATCATTGCACTCAAATTGAATACTTTAATAATACACTGTCCTGTCCAAGGACCCGAGGGACGATGGCCAGACTTCCAACACCATTGACATACTCCACCCAGCTGCGCTTACTCTCTTTTTAAAGTTAATGTTACAATGTTCAATTTACTATGGTCAAGTACCCTGTCGTGCATAATGGTATTTTAATGAGTTGGTGAAGAATACCAGGAAAAATAAATAATGTAGATCAGGTAATGTATCACAGTGCTCCCGATCATAATGTACATAAGGTACCCATCGATGATTTTACACAATTGCAAACAACTATAAACATTATTAAACAACACATAAATAAAAAATGCATAGAGTTATTAAATATAGTATTTATTTAAATAATAAATCAATTACAAATTTACAACATAATTATAAACAAGTAGTCAAGTATTTGTGATAGTTGAGATGTTTCTCATTATCGGCCATCACGTGACTTAAAACAATTTAAACAAGGTTTTGGATGGAAAGTTTGACAATTATTAGTATGGATTGTATGGGGTTGTTCTGTAGGCTGGGCCAGAGTATGCGGGTGCGGATTAAGCTGACTTGTAGGCTGGGGGGCAGGTGCGCTGTACGGTGCCTTGTAACCTTGGCTGTGTCCTTCGATTTTCTTGACTTCGGCGTTGAAACCTCTGTGGTCGTCGGCGGTGTATTCGACGACGCGGGTGGAACCGTCGGCTTCCAAAAGACTGTAAGTACCCTTGACGTAACCGTTTCCATCGCTTTACTCTGATTGGCTGTGCACGTCGTAAGTGTGTGGGTCGTTTACGCTGTACACGAAGTTGTACGGGGTTGGGGCGTACGAGTGTTCAGCTTGAGCATAAGAGTGATGCGCTGGGTATGCTGGGGCGGCGTATTGAGAGAGTGTGGTGGCCACGCAGGCGGCGAAAATGATCATCTGCAATAAAATCGTTTAGATTAAAAATGCAAAATGAACATGTTTCAAGATTAATGTTTTTAGATATATTATATTTAACAAAGACACAAGTATACCTTAACAGCCATTTCTTATTGGTGTATTTTATTAAATGTGTACTTGGTACTGTGTAGGTTTAGAACTGATATCAATTCACTATTGGTTCTTCGTATTTATGTTGATCAATGAAATGTCATCCCTCCCAAAACTTAAAATCCTAAATGCATATTATTATATTGTATGAACAATATTATTATTTATTTTCGTTTTTTGAACAATTATAAATTTACCACGCCCCTTTGCTAATTAGTCCTTTTGCAATGAAGTGAAAATTATGTAAAAATTTGGTGTCATTCGTTAAAAAATTTAAAATATGCTAATAGATTCAATCACACGTTCTTATAATATATAGTTATATAATCGATACTTTAAAATGTAATTAAAATATATCTATAATTGTAACATTATTTTATGAGCGAAATTCCACTTGGCACTTACACAAATAAAATTGTATTTATTAATTATTAGAATCTGTAGATGAGCACTGATTTCATTATAAAAAATTACTCCAAATTGTATCGCATTTCATTTGAAAAGAAAGGTGTATGAAATAAAGGGGCGCGGTAACTATAGGTACATAATATATTATAACTATTCGTAACACAAAAATATATGATAATAATTTATAGAAGGTATACCGTTTATAAATTTATATTATATATTATTATAATTTCGGTATAAACAACCGGTTATAAACTATACCAAAGTATTTGTTTAAAGCCGCATTCCCACGACTGGTGTACTTGTCAAATACGCCAATAATTGTACATTTGGCCAGTGCACGACTGAGGGTGTTCACACGACTGGTGTACTTGACAAGTACGCCAATACTTGAGCACTTGTACAAGTAGCCAAGTACACTGTTCCCACTGCTGGCTGTTATAGCAAATATTGGTGGTGGGGGGCACACTTAAATAATAATATTTTTAATTTTTTGTTTTTGGGAAATTTAAGTTATTTAGAAATTAGTCTAGTCCTAATCGTTGTGTGGTAAAGACTTAGGTACCTACTAGATAGCTTATTATTTATTATTGTAGTTTAACACAATTTAATAAATAATTTATTGGACTATGATAAGTGAAAACGACAAAGCACTAGTTTGTGCTTCATTTATTGTGATGTGTGGTGAATATTTAAAAAATAAGAAAAAAATCAAAAGTCCAAAGAAGAGAAGGTGGTGGATGACGACAATACATCAAAGTCGCAAGAAGTAAGTTTATTACGTTTTAAATCCTTATAGCTACCAATGTATATATATTTTGTATATATAAAATACTAGAATATTAAATAGTCAATAGATACTTTTATTTCATATTCAAAATAAGTTTTACTATTTAAAATGATTTACTCGTTTACTACGTAAGTATTACGATTTACAGATCCGCAATAATATATTCTACCTACAGTGTAGCTGCTAACTATATTTTAAGTTAAAATAAGAACTTATATAACCATTGGAACATATTATTGTTTAATGATTATGATATAATACTTTGATAGGTACAATGCCACAAATCTCATGGAGGACCTAAGACGAGAACCATCTGGTAAATTTGAAAACTTTTGCAGGATGTCGGCCACTGACTTTGAATTTTTACTTAGTAAAATTGGACCAGTAATTAAAAAAAATGATACAATTATGAGAGAAGCAATCCCTGTACAAGAAAGG